CCCCCCCCCCCCCCCACACACACACGCGAAGATAGATAGCATCAATGAAATCTATGGGACTGCCGAGCAGTTGCGTGCCGAGTCGATTCGTTCCCGCGAGGCGTATCTGGAGCTCAAGGCCGTGCGGCAGAAACAGGAGGAGGACTACAACAAACTCAAGGCACAAACCATGTACTCGCGCACGCACACAATGCATTCCATCCACCCACTCACAGACACCGATGGATGCATCTCATGTATGCAGCGAGTTGCGCCACAGCTACAAGCAGCTGAGCCAGGACTACCAGGACGTCACACGCGGCAAGGCGGGTGTGCCTCGCCCCTCCCTCCCGGCCGACGACCCCCGCCCTGCCAATCGTACGCTGACCCACGACAGCACCGAGAGCACACAGGTCATCGACGAGGAGCGGCGGACGGGCGAGAGCGACGGCAGCCTTGGCGGCCACTTCATTGACATGCCCTCACCAGCCATACAAGTGCAGCAGCAACCGGAGGAGCAGGACCAGGCCGACACAGAGCCCCTGAAGGTAAGAGAGAGAAGATACACCAAAGTGGGAGGGAGACATGGTCGGTCTGGATGATGGAGTTTGTGTGGCCATCATCAGGTTGTGGAGGAGCTCGACCATGCCAGCGACGAGGCGGTCGACACCACTGCGGGCCATCCTGACGCCCCGCCACCCGTCACCAACACGGACCCCTCGCCGCCACCCTGCGACATCCATGACAGACCTTGCACTCCACCCCCAATACCAATACCACCACTTGACGACGACAACATCAACCAGGCAGCCGGGACGCCATGCTTCGGCACCCAGCCCACCCACTCGAGCGAGGCATCCATCATCGGCTCGCCACGCGACACTGTGACACACGACGGCACACGCCTGGCGGACGTCGCAGTGGGTGAGGAGGATAGGCAGTGGGCAGCCATGGTGGCGGACAAGGCGCGGGAGGGAGATGATGGCGAGGGTGGCGGTAGCAGTGGGAGTAGGAGGGTCAGCGGGGCTGCTGCTGCTGCTGCTGCTGCCGGTGGTGGGCAGGAGGGGGAGAAGAATCAGGAATGCGCCACGCAGTGAGTCCATCCATCAAGCGGCAGAGTGGGAGGGGGGTGTAGATTGGCTGAATGGATGCTTCGGTGTGGATGCGTTCCGTTGCATATCAGACATTGATTGTTTATCAACTACTGATGTCTGGTCCTTCCTTCCCTCAGCTACCCTTGGTCATTGCTCGCTCCATTAATCCTACAGACAGCACATGCATTACATACTCAGTCCAGCCGCGAGCTCTCTGGCCGCGAGGACGGCCCACAGGCAGATACAGACAAAACAAAATGCTTCAGCAGCGCTCTGTTGGCCTCAGTCTGTTCGTGTCTTCCCTGTGCATGGCGTCTCTCTCATACATCTCATTCACACACTCCAACTCGCGAAACGGCGGGGCGCTTGGGGTGCTCTCGATATCATCGCCCAAGCTGACCTTGTTTGGCCAGAATGCCTGCCGTTGATGAAGCAGTACCGACCGAGACATGACATGAGAGGAGGTGTGGGTGTAGTGTTGTTGGTCAATTCGTGTACCCCACCTCGTAGAACTGTCTGGTGGAGCGCTCGAATAGCCTGCCATATAGGTCCTCTTCCCCACTGGGCGGGAGAGACGGACACCTCCTCGCACACATCCTCCCCGTTCTCAGCAATCGAGGGAGCCCTCGACGCCTGTGTCACGTTGAACGGAGCCTCCGAACCCTCTAAGATTTCATGATCTCTCGAGGCGACACACGGTTGGCAATCCTCTCAGCAAGAGTGACGTCCGGCCACGCAGCATCGCCGTCTTGTCTGCCCTCCCGCTCTGCCCCCCGGAGACCACCATTCGGGCGATGCAACGCCCTCCTCCGGCGCACTGACCTTGCACCAGGCAGCAGCTCATTGCCGCCTTGCAATCGAGTCACTTGGCCTTTTGCAATGGGAAATATCGGAACTGACATCGACAAAACTCACGAAGGATCTTGTTCGCCCTTCGGAGGGGAAGGAAGCTCAGCGGAGGGGAAGGAAGCTCGCATTCGTTTTGAGCTCGCAAGAGATCTGACGCGAGAGGACGAGGACTGGGTTGGCGCCCCGCTTAGCTTGTGCGGTGCAGCAGCAAAGATGTCGTTGGCAGATCACGTCGAGCAGATCAAAGCGATGGGCTTCACAGAACAGCAGGCCAAGGAGGCCCTCACCGCCTGCAGGAACGACATCAACTCGGCGCTGGAGGCCATCCTCAGCGGAGAGGACTTTGGCAGAGCAACCACGGGTGGCGCACAAACCAACATGGCAAACAGTGAGATCACATCAGATCACATCAGATGCGTGTCCGTGTCATCGGTGTGGATAGATCCACCTCTCCCCGTGCTGTTCTCTATTGTTTGCTCTGCAGGTGGTATGTTTCCTCCGCCCTCCACGCCGAAGTTGTACTACTTCGATTTCACCGGCAGAGCAGAGCCCATTCGGCTGGCCTTCATGCTCGGTGGGAGGAGGGAGGGAGTGGGGGGGTGGGGGGGTGGGCAGCACAACACACATCACACA